CCTTATCACGGACCAGTTTTCATCCCAATTAGACCTGAGTAAAATCCACATGCCATTGTTAATGCAGACTATAATGCCGTATAAAATTCAATTTGTGTTCATATGTGAAACAGGCCAGCCCGGCTCAGACTCTGGGGTAAGATCTATTACCTTGCGCTTGGTGGGATCTCGGTCAACTAGGATGAAACATTCCATGTGAAGGCTAATTATCCCACTTGACCAGAATAGACATTTTTTGCTGATTTTAACCCATTAAGCGCCAGCGCTCTCCCCTCGACAAGTAAAATCGTCTGGCGTTAGACAGAGTAAAATACTAAAGTAGGGTGCAATGCGACTCAATGGGTTAACCTATAACATTATTGAACTGAATAGTTGGAAAATACAAAAAATATATTAAACATTAACCCATTTAGCCACAATGCACTCAAATTCACCCAATTTTATTGCAATATTTTACTCTGTCTAACACCAGACAATTATTTTGCACATTTGAATGGTTTATTTTCAATTGAATGGTGCTGTAAGGATCCATAATGGTTTTAATTTGAAGTTTTTTCTCTTCAATTATTTTTAAGGTTGAGGAGAAATGGTTGCAAGAACTACATACTGGGGTATACACAAAACCGAACAGTTATGCAGGAAGTTCGTATGAAAGATTTTTATTGCTTCAGAAATCGAATAAAGAAATACCAAAGCCATGGACACGCGTAGCTCTGAAGATTTACAAGAAACCATTAAAATCATTGAGGTATAGAATAAAATTATTAATAAATGCAATTTCCAATTGGTTATCTTTGACTTTGAGACTCAAAAGCACTTTCCCCTTGATGCAGAATATATCATTTGGCAGAGTAAAATAACAAATATAAGGGTTCATTGCAAATAAAAAATCAGGGTGCACTGCCACTTAAAGGGTTAAGTTCTCCTCCCCCCCCTCCCCTTCTTTTGCAACAAAGAGAGATACTGTATGTGACAGTGGCAACTGCAGACTCTATGCTTATCTAGGGGTGCACCGGAACTCACCGGTTAGTTCCGGCCGGAACCCCGATTTTTTAGAGTTCCGGTTCCGGCCGGAACTAGTAAAAAAAGCATGGCCGGAACCGGAACTCTGTCGTTTTCAGGGAGATAGAATATCAAACGTTTTTGTGTCTAACAAAATGTCACAGTAGGAAGAAAGTTGGACTACGCAAGGGAAATGTACACTACTAACACTTCATTATGACGTTTAACGTTTGTCAGTCTTTTTATTCTGACATTTGCGAACTCTCTCCTTGATGATTTGATGTGTCTGCTTGTCTGGCAGCGGACAAAGTAACATATGACTATATATGGCTTAATAAATTAGTTCCGGTTCCGGCCGGAAGTTCCTGCCAGAACTTTTTTCCAGTTCCGGTCGGATCCGGTTCCGGCCGGAACTTAAAAAACCGGTTCCGGTGCATCCCTATGCTTATCCCCAGTATGTTTTATACTTTTATGCTCATTTGAACAAACTTAGAACCACATCTTACACTTTTCATAACCATCAACGATTGTTAAGGCATCAACAACCGAAATGGTCTAATATGTAGATTTAATATGCAGACTTATTTTGAGTCACAATGAGATAGGGCTAACAACCATGCACATTTGAAGTGTCATTAATCCTTTAATGCACACGGCTTTCCCCTTGGACTTGTTGCATGGCGGTAAAATCGTCTGGTGTTATACAGAGTAAAATAATATAATCTGTTGCATTTGGGTGCATTGCAGCATATTTAGCCTTTCTCACGCCGCCATTTTTGGGTACGTGGCAACTTTTTTTAGAAAAGGGATAGTAAGCAGTGAAAATGAAACTTTCTATAACTATAGTTGTAAGTATAATCGTTATAAATCGATTTACAGTTAAATATTTGGAAAATTATTTTCACATCGCTTCGATTTTTCACGTTATTTATAAAATAGTACCCAAAAATGGCGGATTTAGACCTTTGTGAAAAAGGTTAATTGGTTAATATAATTAAAAGTATGGTCAGTCATTTGGAAAACTTCTCAAAGCAGTAATTCAGTTTTTGAAACTCAACAAAAACAAAAGATCTTTGGCCCTAACAGGCCCTGTTAAGTTTTAGATATCGAATTTACGTCAAATGTAATAGCATGTATTCCAATTTCCAATTGTCATCACAAGTGTGATTTGTCCAGATATATAGAGAGCTCACTGTTTTTTTCAGGTAGTTGAATACTTGAATCCATCTTAAGGCCCATTTCCACTCAGGGAAAATTCCCACGGACAGAAAATTTTCCGAAAATATCATTGTTAAAAGTTGAAAATTTTCAACTTCAAATTTTTTTTCCGACGGAAAATTTGTGTCGACCAATCACATTTTACAAAATTTTCTTTCCGCGGAAAATTTCCCTGAGTGGAAATGGGCCTAGAATTAGGCCTGGTTTCCATATGGTCGTAATGGTCGTAAAAATAGAGTCACGATCTTTCTCAACGGCCTGTTTATAATCATATAGTTTATACCTGTAAGCGACATATAAATCATGACTATTTTGTAGTTATAATCACTCTACGTATTTTCACTTCTAAAATGTTGTATTTCGGCTGATGAGAAAGATCGTGACTCGATCTTTACGATCATATATGGAAACCAGTAGAATAAATATAAACTTACAAATTTATTAACTAGTAGAATAAAGAAACTTACAATAGACCTTTCCAAGGTTAACGACGCCATCATGAAACGCAATAGTGCAAGGGGTGCAAATACAATGGAATTCCCTATAGGTAAATTTGTAGGGGATGCAAACACAATGGTGAAAACAATAGATTCAAGATGGCGTCCTTAACCTTGGAAAGGTCTATTATAACCGCAGCTTTTTGGTGTTATCTTCACTATACCTACGTTATGGCTGGCTCAGTATCTTTGCTAATTATGCTAATGTATGTAATGACCAATGTACTGTAAAACAACATTTTTTAACCAGGATTCCACAAGTTCCCAGTGAATACAACTTTCCTTGCAATGATACGTTCGCTGATCTAATGTCTTATGTGTCAACTGAGAACTTCAAGAATTATTTATTGCAAGCTTCGAAGAAGTACAGCAGCACGCCGATTAATGGCGATGTGAAATTCGAGGAGATTCACGGAGAGGTACGATATAAGTAGTATTACCCCCCACATATAGCGAGGGAAGTAATTAGTATGCAAGGTATCAATATGGCGCCGGAAGTAATGAGTATGCAAGATATCAATATGGCGCCGGAAGTGACATCATGGGTGTCTTGTCCATTACATAGCAAGAAAGGTGTTGTGTTTGTATTTATGTACGTTACACATTTCACATGCAAAGCTTGTGGGACAGATGAATTAAGCAAAACGGCATTGTACGATTCTAAACCAACAGTGAGATTTATAAGTATTTTTTCCAGAATATGTGTTCTTCTGAAGTAAAAACAGAAAATTGAATACCCTCCAAACTCCAAAGACAAGTTTCGGATGTGACCGTTGTTGTGTTTGCAATAAAAACGGCAATTGAAATGACTATTTTTGAGCGTTGGAGATAAGGCGGCCTTTAACATTTTGAATTTCGTCTGTTTGTAAACGGTAAAAACTAAGGGGTATACCAGAGGTGTAAAAACAAATTATGTAATGAATATTTTCGTGCAAGTCAATATTAATTTATCGAGATACATGGCTTCCATTTCCTTTTTGTTTTCGGACTTAAATTTGTTGTTAAATATGCTCTTTCGAGCTTTAATATGCTCTTTCGAGCTTGTCAATATGAATAAAAATCTTGAGGAAAATTTCCACTAACCTTGTAAGTGTAAGATGTCAGCCTGGAAACCAAGTGTTTAAAACGATATAGACTTCCAAAGTTGAAGAGTTTCGGTCAATCGAACTGTTAAAACCACACTCCTCGAAGCATATTTTCCCGTATTTCTCCATGCTAAAGCGTGTTTATAAAGCCATTTATAGATCAAATGTTCCCATTTCATTTCTAGTCAGAGTCATTTCAGAAGGAGGAAAAAGGGGGGTTAACGAATACGAAAATGTATACATTTTTAAGGCAAGACATGGAAACGAGTCTTGTATTGGCTGGATGCATGTATAAATTAACGCACACACAGAGATTAACGTTTTAAACAATGTACTTTTAAAGTATGAATATTTTACACAAATAAGCAGTAATTAAACATATTGTCCGCCTTTTACGGTGTTTTCTAGTTTAGATCGTTTGACTTTGTACACTGTCCCGTCCTCCGTTAGCAGGAGCTTACGCTTTTGTCCTTTATGCTCTATGGGCTTGACATCCAGGACTTTGATCGCTTTACGTTTCTTGTTTGCTGGCAGCAACGGTACTTTTTCGTAGTCGTAATGCATACAAATTAATATGCTGACCATTTATTGTGGTCTTTCTTTGTTTCTCCAGATTACGAAGGTTTCCGTTTACTGGTCTGTCCTTGCTTTAACGTTAAAGTTTCTCTCCATCTCTTCTTGCCGCTTAAATAATTTTTTGACACTTTCCTCCAGGTACACAAATTCCTATCTTACTCCACTTTAACCATTTCTTGCGTTCCTCCATTTCCATACCATGCACTTGGTCGAGATGATTTGCTAATCTTGCAAGATTTGTACTCCCACAACCAAACACAGGACAGTTCCTACGCGTACGACACATGTTTGTTCCACGAGATTCGGATGGTAACTGACTCGTTTTACCCAATTTAGATATTTTATTAGGCCCATTTTGGCCTTATATGGCACTACGAGGCCCGATTGCTGACCAACCGTTCTAACCTGGGCAAACCCGGGCTTGTCGCGCTCCGTTGTTGTGACGTCACTAGAAAAGTGATTAGCTTACAAAAATGCGTTATATAAAACAAGCTTCGCAGTTATTTTCTCATTCTGTGTCACAAGTTGGTGCTGTGAACATCTCTCTTAAAATCTAGAAGACATCTTGGCAATATGCAAGCTCTTGGTCTTTTTTCTCGTCGTGCTATTCTTGGTCGCTCCAACAAGAGTACTGTGGTTTTGGAGAAGATTGCGAAGGAAAACTCCCTAAACAGAACTGGTTCTGTCAACTTTAACAAGTATGGAAAGCAAGACAATATTGGTTTCTCGTCTTGTAGCGAGAAATTCGTGGACAACTTTCTGCTTTACGTCTACGTTCCCGATTATTTCGTGACTTCGAAGAAGACCTATACAGAAGTTGGTCCAGTTAACAAACATATTCGAGATATGCTCGACCGCTATGGCTTGCAAAAATGTAAAGTCAAAGCTATCGCCTTGTCATTCCTTAAGGAAGACTTAAAACCAGAAGATTTGGATAAAGTCTACGGTCGTCTTAAATCCAGAGAAACTGACGAAACTGTCTATTACGCACAAGAGTTTAAAATTGCGTGTGCGGACAAGAAATACTGTAAAGTTCTCGAATTCCTAAGAACCGACGAGTACAGGATAAGAAATATATTCCTAAAAGATATTGACGTCACAATGGATTACTCTGGTAGTTTAGACAAGGACGAAGTAACCGAGTACTTGACAACGAAGAAAGGTTTTCGCATCCAAGGTAGTGTAAAAGATGCAGACAGAACAATACTGGATTATTATCCGACCAGGTTAGAAATAACTGCCTCACATACATGGAAACTGTGGATGGTCTGACAAATATCCAAAATTCACGCGCGTTAAAAACTAGAATTAAAGAAAACAGACATGCAATCGACACAATGGATGCAAATTCCCAACTGGCTCAACACCATTTACTCACATAACATTGCAAGCATAACATTGACCTAGAAACAGTTCAAATTGTTGATCGATGCGAACAATGGTCCCAATGGCTTTTTCTCGAGGCATGGCATTTGGAACATGAACCAACATCACTATTGATGTATATGTATATATTGTGTTAATGTTGGACAAAGCGGGACATCAGGAGCGATGGGGGATAGCTAAAAAGAGCGGGAATAGACGGAGAAAGAAGAAAACATTACATTGTATACTATGGGTTGATATTATTAAAAGAAACGAACAAACCAGTTTATATTTGGCGACTAGGATTAAAAAAATCACTTATCCTGACACTGACTACGTCACAATCAGATATATACAACTACAAAGCACCAAAAGCTGAAATACCGACCAATATGGCGGCCACGACGAGCACTTCAACAGTATATTTCGACCCTGATCTTCATCCAAACGACACTTTACGGGCTTTTGACGAATTTATCCAGAGCTTCGAGCTCCGATATGATGCACAATATCCTGATCCTCCTAAAAAATAATGCAAATTTCAATGCTGCTCGTGATCATCTCTTGTACGTCCCTCTTCACTTCGGCGTAACTGATGAGGCTGATATTGATGAATGCTGGAAAGTTTGGAAAGACTTATTTCTTACAGCTATAGATCAGTTTGTGCCCAAGAAAACAGTTTTGGATACCAACACGGCTCCTTGGGATAGACCGGGAAGTAAAGCATCTGATCAATAAGAAGTACACAGCTCTACGTCAATATCGACTGAAACGAACGGAAGAAAGAAAGAGTAAATTGCGAAAGTTGGCGCAAGAAACTAAGAACTTGATTAAGCTAAAGCGACAACGATATTTAGAAAAAGTTCAGGATTCGTTCACAAAATCACCCAAATCATTCTGGTCCTAC